TAATACTCGTGTGTTTAAGTATTATTACAAAAAGAAAATAATAAATCATTCAATTTTATTATATATATGTAATATAAATAATATTATTTCCCATTACTTTTTTTTCACAATTTATTACCTATAAAGAAACAAAATTGTCATAATATATATATATATTATTTTATTTAATTCATTTTATTTTTTCGATAATAATTCTACATAGACATTTTTGATTTACGATCATCGATATATTCAATTTGAAAATAATCATCGATTGTATATCATACACACGTTTTCAATGTAAATTAAATGTTTTATATATATATATTTTTGTTTGGAATACCGAGAACAACGATCCTGAGTTTTCGTTAATAATATTTAATATTCATAGACATTCGTATTTTTATTCAATATTCAACAGCATCGATACGAGTAACGTTTTGTTTTGTTTTGTTTTTTTTTTTTTCAAAAACAAAAATCGTCATGAAAATTAAATCCAATAAAAAAGTTTATAAAAAGAAATATGCGAACTTGTGAAAAATCCAATACAATGAAACAAACGTTGTAACAATCGTTTTATTAACCCACTGATCGTTAATATCGATTACTATCATTGTTTATTCATATTATCTGCTAAATTTTCATAACAATTTGACTGAAACACAATTTTTACGAGTATTTGTTCTTTCATTCTAAAAAAAAAAAAAAAAGAAAAAAATTCGCACGTTCTACGAGATGAATTTTATTTGTGCAACATGTTAAAGTATGCGATTAATTAATTTGATTATTTAATTAAAGCCATTTCCATTGAATAAGGGATCATTCTAACGATTACAATTGGATAAATCCTTGCCGATTAATTCTATTCGTTTATTTATTGGACCTCGAACAACGAGTTAACGTAGCGGGGGATGAAAAGGGGGAGATTTGATGGGGGTTGTTCTAGCACGACGAGTGCTAATAGGAAATTAATTAAATATCAATCGTTGTTATCGAGGGCTGTAAAAATTCAATCAGTTTTCGAGTTCGTTCGATTGTTTATTATTAGTCAAGTGTTTTAACAGAACATTATATTTATTTATTTTTTTTTAATATCTAGTTTTCTATTTATTACGTCTTTCATTTTTTTGTTTATTTAATATATAAATATTATATACAATAAAATATAATAATTAGATACAATTTAATTGTATGATAATATTCTCGATATTTATTTCCAACAAAATGGAATTTTATAAATCGTAAAAAAAATTACAAATATAATCATTGAAACTATTAATAATTATTATAATTGTATTATAAACAAACTTACAAATTGATCTGTCGATTAAATTACATACACGTAGATATAATTTTGTATGCATATGTTAAACGAACGATATTAATATGAGATTAAAATTAGAAACAACCAAAAAATTACTGTTCAATTTGTTTTTCTATATTTATTTTTATTTTGTTTTCGTAGAATATATTTTTTCACGAAGCATTTGTGTTTCGTTACGTAAGAGTTAGAACCTTTCAAAGGGTACGAGATAGCAATCGCGTATAATTGATATTAAATGATTAATCGAGATATGTACGCCATTGACCTTCCTACTTTACTTGGCATAGTTCTACGCAATAGTTCTTCGTTGCTTATAATACGGAAAATACGAAACGTAATGTTACGATTAGATCGGTTACATGGGAAACAAACCAGATGGGAAAACTTAAAAATAAAATCTCAAAACTTTCGGTAACAATTCTTACGACAATAAGATTATTCATTTTCTTTTTCTTTTTTTTTTAATTACTTTCTAATAATATTATCTTGAAA